CACCTGGCCTAGAGGGCTTCTCCACGTGCTCAGCGGGGTTCTCCGTTTGTATAGCTGGTCCTGTCATTTACATGGAGATGTTTTCATTTGCATGGAGGGGTCCTCTATTTGCCTGGTGGACTTCTTCATTTGCATGGAAGAGACTTTCATTTGCATCGAGGGGTTCTTTATTTGCATGGAGGGGCCCTATATTTGCAGGAGAGATCCTTCATTTGCATGGAGACATCCTGCATTTGCATGGAGGGGCTGTCTACCCACACAGTGGGGTCCTTCATTTGCATGGAGGGGCTCTTTATATGTGTAGAGAGGCCCTTTATTTGCATGGAGGGGCCCTCTGTTTTTATAGAGGGGCCCTTCACTTGCATGGAGGGCTCATTCATTTACATGGAGAGATTCTGTATTTGCATGGAGGGGGCCTTGATTTCCATGGAGGGCTCATTCATTTGCATGGAGGGTACTTTCATTTGCATAGAGGGGTTCTTCATTTGCATGGAGACATCCTGCATTTGCATGGAGGGGCTGTCTACTCACACAGTGGGGTCCTGCATTTGCATGCAGGGGTTCTTTATTTGCATTAGAGGAGCCCTTCATTTGCATGGAGGGCCGTCTACTCACATGGTGGGTTCTCTCTGTGTGGGGCCTTCTGCTCACATGGTGGATTCTCTCTCCCACGTCTGCACGGCACCTCCCTCCTCCTCTCTTGTGCTTCATGTTCTTTCTTTCCTCTGCTTCGACCTCAGGGCGTCTCTCTTCCTGTTGTTTTCTCATCTTTCTGTCTGACTCTGCTTCTGCCGTCAATCTGTCCATCTCTCTTCTCTCCCGCTACATCTTTCTCTGCTTTTCAGTCCAGCCCAGGCCCCCTCTGTCCATGGCTGACGGGGCTGGGGCCTCACAGGGCTTATTCCTCCTTCCTTTCCCCTCCCTCCCCACAGCTGGTGGTAAAAGGTGGTGGGAAAAAGGAAAAGGCACACGTGCCAGGACAGCAGATGACCCTTAAGATAGAGGGTGACCATGGGGCCCGAGTGGGGCTGGTGGCCGTGGACAAGGGCGTGTTTGTACTGAACAACAAGCACAGGCTGACTCAGAGTAAGGTACGCAGCTGTGTCGA